CAGTGCCCAGCGACCTACTTCCTCCCATTGAGCCCCGCCTCCTAATACTCCACGCAGCCAGTGAGCTATCAGTGGATTAATCCACTTGAGGTCCTGGTGATCCAGTCACCTCTCTGAGCCCCATCTCCCAACATGGCTGCCTTGGGGACCCAGCCTTCAATAGTTGAGTGTTTGGGGACCACTTCATTTTAAACCCTAACAAAGTTGTTATGGAAGGAAAGCACAGGAAGAACCCAGTCAGAGAAGATCAACAACAGATTCCTGTCAGGTGGCCGCAGAAAGCCCCCGCAGGGAGCCAGAAGATTGCTCTCGGCTGATCCACGGCTCTTCTGAGGATCTAGGTGACAGATTATTAGTTTACCAAGGACCCACCCGTATGCAATGGAGGGTGTTTCCTAGCACTCTAAAAAGGACAGCGTATCTGTTAGGCACCTGGGGCACCCAGAGAAGAGAGACTGCTCAGCCTCCCACCACCTCCCTCGTGGTCGACCTGGAATCTGGACTCTGGCTGCTTCCAGTCACATTCGCACTCAGCCCCCCGTACCCCGGGTACCCAAGAGCACCCGCTTCCTCTTCCTCGCTGTCCTCCTGTTTTGCATGGGGAAGACGACCCTCCCACAGGTCCTCGAGTCTGTCTGTAGGAAGCGGTGTCCAAAGGCAGGAATCACATTTTCCAAACCCAAGTCCTGAGGTGTGTGTCCTATTGAGGGAGACTACTCGGAAGGCGAAAGGGCCAGTACTGCAAATCGAGATGGCTCCTCAGTCTCACACTGCCGGGTCCGGAGGCTCCGAGAAGACGGGCGGATGTGGCCCAGCCTCCCTCCGCTCTCCTCTCTTGCTTCTCTCTTCCTGCTGGAGGCTGCCCCAGCCACAGGGGCCGATTTTCCACCCCTGGAACCCGACAGGTACAGCGCTTCCTTTCCCTGCACCTCCTCCCTAGATCCAGGCAGGCTGTCCTGTCCTCTCCCATCACCAGGCCTATGTCCAGATGTCGCCTCTCACTTCTGTACGTTTAGAGTCACCTGCAGGACCCCTGCTCCGGCCCCCCAATCCTGACACTGTGTTTCATTGTCTTGTAGCATGTTCTTCCGTGCAGAAGTCGTGCTTGGGGTCTGTCCCACAGCCCACCGCCTGGGACAGCGCGCTCCACAGACTGGCTAAGCAGGAGCACTGTTCCTCCGGCCACAGGCTGTTCTCTGTTGTGTGTCGCAGGCTCCTGGAGCAGAGCACAGTGAAACTCGCTCTTTGAGTCCAGTCCAGTTCTGTGGATGAGGAGGAACCACGGGATGGGGCGAGGGGACCAGCAAGGAGCAGGGTGTGTCACGCGCATGGCCACCTCCCCTGGTGAGTACTCACTGCACACTGCAATAGGTACTAATCAAAAAATAAAGGGAGTGAGCACAGGACCTTAAGAGTTAGTTTAAAGTAAGCGAAATCCCTGACATCACTTCTGGTGTAGCAGACTTGGATCTTCAGAGACCTTACGGTGCTTGTAGCCGATTTATTTTTGTCAGCTCATGTTTGTGATACTGGCGGACACGTCACCGTGGGGAGCTGGTGCGGGTACCCCAAATCTTGGTCCTTTTTGTCTCCCCTTCCCCCGCCCCTCCTTCCCCTCACCTTCTGTCCCTAGATTCCCCTTCCCATCTGCAAAGACCTTATGTTTTTATATCCCTGCATTCATAATGGAGATTTCAAGTGGCTTTTGATATGATGGTTTAAATTTATGATCTTAAATATATATTTTTAATATTCTTTGAAGTACGTAGTATTCACGTAAATTGCATTTCTTTCTGCCTTTATTGGATGACTTTCAATGCCCACTAAGATTACATGAAGATTTTGATAATCTGTCAAATCAAAAGAAAACTCTCAAAGTTGCCACTGAAAACTGGGAATTGTAATTAAAAACCCAATAAGTATGCACAGTTAATCATGTTAACAAAAAAAATTTAAAATATTTGAGTAGATGGAAATGCTAACTACCCTGGTTTGATCATTATACATTGTGAATTCATCGTACCCACCAGAGTTCGATCACACTGTATCCCATATATATTTATAATTAAAATTATAATAAATAGAAACAAAACGAAACAAAAAGTCTAAGCCCACCCAAATATCTGTAAGAATACACACATCCTACAGAAAGGTCCTGGTTTGGGTTGGGTGGGAAACGGAAGTCAACTTCAGGACACAAAGTGGAAACAGAATGGGGCGGGTGGATCTGGGGACAGGGCTGCCCGCGTCCTGTCTGGATGCAGTGCTGCAGCGGGACTCAGAGTCGGGCCTTGAACTTCAGAAGCCACATCCAGAAAGTGTGTGACATTTCGTGTGATCAGGAGTTCTGGCCTTGAGCCCCAAATGCGGCCTTGGGCCTTGAGCTCAAAAGTCACCATGGATACAGTGAAGAAGCCTGAAGTCCCTTTTATTCCTTCCTGGGGACCCTGCTTAAAGGGAGCCTGTGTGGGTCTGGGGCAGCTCAGATATGCAGTCTCCCCCAAAGGCTCCAGTCTCAAAGGCCTGGTCTCCAGTTTTGTGGGGCTTTGTGGGAGGCCTGCAGGCCCCGGGTCACTGCCCAGCCCCTTCCCCTTTCTCTCTCCCGCTTCTGGGCCATGAGGTCAACTCCACCACATGCTTCCTCCACGGTGTGTGCCCAATACAAGGCCAATCTGTTATGGACCAGAAGTTCTAAAGCCAGGGGCCCAAATCCACTTTTCCACTTTCTAAGTTGATTATCTCAGGTGTTTGCTGTAGAGATGGAAAGCTAACCCAGGGTCCACAGGGGGACGGGAAATACCTGTCACTGTGGTGTGATAAAGCTCCAGGGTTCCCACCAAGAACTAAGAGATGAAGGCCACAAGGCTCACCTCCGAGAGTCAGTGTCAACAGTCAGAGGGCTTCCAAGCTCACAAGAGAGCAAGCAGCCACTAGGTTCACAGTGACAGCCTTGCTAAAGGACGTGGTGTCAAGCGGGCTTGGGGTTCGCCTGTCTTGGACAGTGAGGCCTAAGGAGAAGGGCTGGCCCTGTTTCCCACCCAGCGGAAAGGCGTCTTGGGGTACACACGCACACAGGGGGACAAACTGGATTTTCAAAGGCAGAGGACCATGGTTAAGAGTCCAGACTCTTGATACCTGGTTTCGAATCCCGACTCTGTCGCTGGCCAATTACACGACCCAAGTGGGTTACTAAGCCTCCACCTTTGCTCCTTCACCCAGGGCGCTGGAATGGTGATAACGACCAGAGCCCCGAGGACTGGGGGTGCAGGAGTGTGTGCTGTGAACAGGCCGTAATTACAGTGCCACGGGGGACCCGGCCCGCGAGTGCCTGGGGCCTGCCGAGCCTCAGAACTCGCCTCCCTTCGCGCTGGTGCAACCTCCGCCCTCCATGACTGTTCGCTCACGCAGGAAGAATGCGCTTAGCACAGAGGTTCTGAGAAAGCCCCTCCTGCAACTGCTCGGCAAATCCATAAATTACCTGCAGGCGGCTGGCCTCCCACGTGACTGGCCGCGGAAGCCTGAGGCCGGCACGCTGCTGGGGGAGAATTTCAGGTCCCTGGTTTTGATTTCTGACTCTCGCACTGGCATTCTGGTGCCGCTCTGGGCTTGGGCGCACGCCCAGGCTCCGGTTTCACCCGAGCCAGAGTCCTCGGTGGCCAAGCAGTGGCCGGGCCTAGCCGGCTTTCCTTCCCAGCTCCCTGGCGGACTCCGCACGCGCCAGGACCCCGGAGCCCCGGGGCTGCTCTCCCTGCCGTGGGCGCCTTGGCATGAAAGAATAGGCGCTTTTAGAAAACTGGTGGGTTAAAAAAAATGCCACCAAGCGGGCAGCCGAATAGGGCTCTGGAGAGAAAATGTGGTTTTCAGCGCCTCCGGGCGCGGCCTGAGAACTCTGAGTCCCGCACCCCTGAGGGAGAGTGGGGCCTGGCTGGGAGGCGGGGGATCTCACAGGACCACCCATCGGAGGGAAGATTCCCGCCTCCAGCAAGGGCTTCCCCTCCCGACAGACGCCTCAGCAGGTTCAGTTCAGCCTCAGGAATTAGCAGAGTCGGGCTGTTTTCAGGGAGCCAGGAAAGAACAGTGGACGGGAGGTCGAGGAGAAGCTCCAGTCGCCGCGACAGGGCCCGAGAGCTGTTGAGGTCGTCGAGGGCAGGGGGCCTCTGGGATGTCCAGCTGCCTTGGGGTGCGGTCGCCCAGGGAAGGCACCCAAGAGAGACAGTATTGTTCCCTGGGGAAAGTGCAGCTTGGGACGAAAATGGGCAGCGCGGCAGGCGCTTTGAGATGCAGCCCAGCCCGCCCTGGCTTCCTACACGGAGGGCTTCCTGTCTGGAATCTGGGGTCCCCGGAGAGCACCCGGGGGGTCCGAGAGAGGCAGTGACCTGTTGAAATCCCGGGGCCCAGAAACCTGTCCCGAGCCGGCGGGAAGGAAAGATGTGCGTCTCGGAGCAGCAGATTTAGGGCGCTCGGGGTCTGCATCAGCACTTGGGGCTCACTGCTGGGGACCCTGGGCCTCCTGTCCCTCTGGGGTCCGGGACAGCCCAGGACCTTGGTCAGCAGCAGGATCTCCCCGGGGATGAGGCCGAGGGGGCGGCAGCGGGAGGACGGGCGAGGGCGTCGGGGCGGGACACACACCTGCGGCTGAGGCGGGGGGAGCCCCGCGCCAGGGACCCGCCTGCGCCCCACCGGTGCCCGATTCCCGCCCCGCCCCGCGCCACCGCCTCCCCCCCTCGATCCTCCGCGCTCCGCCGCTCCCCGGCCGGGGTTTTGCAATGTAGCAGCTGCCTCCTTTTTTTTTTTTTGTCCCCTCCCCTGAGCCGGTCTCGCCTTCTGGCAGGTGGCTCCTCCCCGCCCAGATCCGGCGAGGGGACCGCGCGGCTGCAGCCCGGGCGCGCCGGAGCGTCTGAGGTCCCGCGGCGCTCGGTCTCCGCGGGGCGCGCTCCTCCCCGCCCGCCGCGGCCCTGGCCCGCCCGCCCGGCCGCCCGGGAGCAATCGCGCGGCGCCCTCAGCATGCCGGAAACATGGCGCTAGCGGCGGCGGGCGGCGGGGGCGGCCGGGCGCGGCGCAGCGGGCTGCTGGAAGTTTCGGTGCGCGACCGCTGGCACAAAGTTCTGGTGAACTTGGGCGAGGACGCGCTGGTGCTGAGCGGCGAGGCGGGCGCGGCGGCGCACAACGGGCCGGGGGCGGCGGCGCAGGGCACGCGGGGCGCGGGCGCGGGCCCCCCCGAGTGCCCGGCCGGGGTGCGCCCCGCCGGCCCCGCCGCGCCCGAGCCTGTGTGCAGCCAGAAGCGCGGCGTGAAGGTGCTGAAGCAGGAGCTGGGCGGTCTGGGCATCAGCATCAAGGGCGGCCGCGAGAACCGCATGCCCATCCTCATCAGCAAGATCTTCAAGGGGCTGGCGGCCGACCAGACCCAGGCCCTGTACGTGGGCGACGCCATCCTGTCGGTGAACGGCGCCGACCTGCGGGACGCCACGCACGACGAGGCGGTGCAGGCGCTGAAGCGCGCGGGTCGCGAGGTGCTGCTGGAAGGTGAGCCCGAGGCGCGGGGCGCGGGGCGCGGGGCGCGGGGCCCGACTCGGGCTGGGAACGGCCCGCCCTGCGGGCGAGGGGGCCCTGGAGAGTCGTGCCCGGCCCTGCGTGGGACGTGGATAGAAACACGTTCTGTGCCGGCGGGGTCCTAACCGGTTAAGCCTGTGCCTTGCCTTCCTTTCCTGTGCTGCGCTCAGCTTCAGTTGCCTCCCAGCCTCCCCACCGCACACGGAGCTGTCTGGGTCTTGCGTGGGGTCAGCAGCCGTTCTGCGTGTGGGCCCCGCGCCAGCCGCAAGGTGCGCGCGCTCAGGCCCCAGCTGTGGAAACGCCACGCAGCTGAGACCTTGCGCTGCATTGATGGATTAAGCCCAGCGCTAAGGGGCAAGACCATTTCCTGCTCACCTAGTTGTGGAGCTGGCACGAGACCCTGAGAACGGTGACAGTTGGGAAACCAACTTTGCTAGTTGCGCGACAGCTCCTGCAGCTCCCTGGTGTGTGGCGTGTGGTGGCCCAGCTCCTGGCCTCCCACACAAAGAGCGTTCTGTTGTTGCTCCGTATTTGTCCAGAGGATTTGCCATGGCTTCATATTTAATTACCACCCTGGACCCGGAGGTGGGAGGCTGCTGGCTTTGGCTTGATGATTAACATAAGGAATTGAACGCGGTTTTCCTGAGCTCAGTGTGTGTTCGCTTAGGTGACCGAGCAGGTGGGACGGGGCGACTTGGCTTGGACCATAAACTGCTGGGCACCTGCGCTGCCTGCAGTGGCTCCGGAGATACCAGGCTGTCGGGAACAAGAGGCCAGTCAGGGTTTTATTGTCCTGCCCTTCTCTTCTTCCTCGCCTTGGTTCCAGTTTGGCGAATAATGACCTGCCCAAGAGGCGAAAAAATATCTCTCACCCCAAACAGGAAGGAGAGCTGACTCCCGTAGCAAAAGTAAACTTGGAAGAGAAGCCGTTACACGACTTTCCTGAGACAGTGACTGAAAGGTGAACTTTGTAAAACCCTCCACCCCACATTCCTAGAACCCCATGTTCTGTGGCGTAGGCGGGACGCTGGGGAAAGGCCCTGGGCACCTAAACCTGACTCTCCGTGGCTCAGTCTTATCCCCAGCCTGAGTTTTTAGAAATTGGCTGCTAATGAAAGATACAAGTGCCGGCACTGCTCAGAGCACCGTGTCTCTTGCCGGGCGTTGTGGTGCACACCTGCAGTCTCGGCACTCGGGAGGCTGAGGCAGGAGGATCTCGGTGAGTGCAAGGCCAGCCTGGGCTACAGTGAAATTGTCTCAAAACCCCCCAAAACAAAACAAACCCAAACGCAGTCTTTTATTCTGAGCCAAAGTGTTGCCCCTTGATGGCCCTCTGTGTGATGGTAGCCCTCATAAACCATGAAGCCCAATAGCACTCCCAAGTCACTCCCTCCCTGCCCTGTCTTGGCCTCCTGGGGGATTCCCAGCTGAAGGGACTTCTCTAGAACCACCTCCCGTGCCTTCTGAACGCAGAGCTGCTTCCTCCTGAAATGCAGTGTTGGTTCCTGAATTTGGGCAAAAGAGACGCTTGGAGAATGTGATCTGGTTGGACTAGAGCTAGAAAGATGTTTTGAAGGTATACTTTGATGGCGAACACACAGTTATTACTTAAATTCATTTTTGTGCTTGTTTGGGGGGTTGCATGGTTAGTGGCGTACCCCAAATATCGCCCATGTGCACCCCATTTCTGGGCATGCGCCGCCTAGTGGAGAGTTACTGCCTCTGCAAGGTGAAACTGAATAGCACGTTTCAATGGCACCTTCTAGTCCTAGATTCTGCCAGACTTACACCCTCCTTCCGTCTCGGTGCCTGCATCTGCAAAGCAGGGATGAGGAAACCGCTGGGCCCGCTCACCTCCTGGTGCTGCCCTATGGAGGAGCACACTGGGGGGGGGGATCCATTCAATAAGTGCCTGCTATATTTTTACTGTTTAATGAAATAAAAATGAACGTGCCTCTTCCACAGGCTCTGTCCATTCTTCCTCCTTTGCTGGAGTTTATATTTCTTAGTTGGATTTTTTGGTATTAAATCTGTAATGCCGCAGCGTGTGGTGGCACACACCTGTGATCCCAGCACTTGGGAATCTGAGGCAGAAGGGTGGCTGAGAGTCCAAGGCCAGTGAGAGCCCCCATCCCCCACCCCATCCCTTCTGTAACATTGGGAGAGACCATTCCTCTGGGAGTCACCGGCATAAAGTAGAATCTGAGGAGAGAATCAGGACCACACCTACCATTTCTCGAGCACTTACAATACATGCCAGGCCTTCCTGGGACTTACTCCTGTTGAAGTTAGGACTCCTATGAGCCGGTTCTCTTGGGGCTGTTCACTTCACTGATGAGGAAGCTGAGCTTGGACACGAGGTCCCCGGCCTGGGGTAATAGTGACACAGCTGGGGCCTCCCATAGAGCTGACCTCTGACCTCAGCCACCTTGCGTGTGAGGTATGAGACAGTCGGAGTCACCAGGTCGAGGGGTTCTTCCCACCCCTTCAGGATGCTGGAAACAGCAACTGTGTGGTGTACACAAAAGGAAAGGACGGGCCAGAACCAAGTCTTCAAATCTACGGTGCCAAGCTCCTGGCTGTGGGAGGGAAGGGCTGGGATGGGGCCTGTAATGAGACAGGGTGAGCACCGGCAGCTCGGGACTCGGTTCCTACTCAAACTCAGGCAGTGACTACACCTTGCCTTGTTTAACCAAGTACTCAGTAGAATTAGCAGCAACTGTCACACACTACAGGCTCGGGTGCTGGGCGCCATAACTGCAGGGAGCACTTCTCTCACAGGCAGCAATGTGACTGGTGCTCCAGAGCGGGGTGGGGACATCCTGTCAGCAACCTGGCAGTCCCGGGTGCGGGAGAGAGGCTGCTGTCGGCAGCAGTAAAATAGTGTTTGGAAACACCGCCTTTCTGTAACTTCTGAGGCAGTGATACAGTTGATTCCTCCACAACGTCACCAAGATGGAGTCATGGGACGTGCAGGCCGGACAGAGGCAGAGCAGGGCCTTGGCCCAAAAGGCTCCTAGGGAACTGGCCGGAACGCGTAGCTATGCAAAGGAGGAACTCAGGGGCAGCTCTTCTCAGGAGCCGGGCTGGGTGTCTCCTTTCTCCCTCTGCCCCCAGGATCTCTGGAGGCCACAGTTACCCTGAAGGTCACTTTGCATCAGGGAGGGGGAGCAGGGATTTTTCTGGCAGGATTGGAAGAGAATTTGAATTTTAAAGAGGCTCACCTTATTTAGGGTACTCAGTTTCTTAAACTGTGACCAGGAACCTTGCAATGAGAGCCTCACAGTCTGGGTTCTTACCTGTTAACAGTTTCATTTTTTAAAGAGATGCTGTATTTCTTAGGACTCTTAGGACTCTTGAAAACCTGAGGAGGTGGGTAAATCTGTCTCTAAACACGATCCTAGGCCGGGTCCTGTGAATGCAGATCTAATGCACTCGCCAGTGGCGAATTGGTAAATACCCTTCCTGTTACCATGACGTGGGTGTCATGCAGAGTAATCTTATCTCTGATTTAGCTTTAAAAATCAATATAATGCTATGACGTTGCTGTGAGAGGAAATAAAGAAATGAGTTGAAGGGCTGGGGATTTAGCTCAGTGGTTTCGCTGCCTGCTGCTCAAGCGCAAGGACCTGAGTTCGATCCCTGGTACCAAAAAAAAGAAATGAGTTGAAAGAATTTTAATAGCTGAACCCTGTGGGATCCACCAAGGTTTCCCGTGTGTGAGGTGTCCTGGCTCTGCGGGGTCCCCGACTCCCCCCAGATGTCATGGATGGGGCACCTGCCGCCCCCCTGATCCCTCAGATCCTCCGTCGATCTCTCTCCGGGATTGACTCGGATCCTCAGGGTGGCTGACACCTTGGCATCGCTGCTCTGCACAGGACAAATAGAGGCCTGAGGGCTTCAGTCTTTGTCAGAGACGCAGCGAGGCAGCGCAGAGCCTCGGGTTCACGCCCAGGTCTCACAGCTCTGGGGCCCCCAGATGAGTCTTCGGAGAGAAGCAGATCGGAATGATGGCTCATTTCAGTTTGTAGGTTAGGAAAAGGATTCTCTGAGACATGAGTGCATTGTCCTACTAGGTCTTTTCCTTTGTCGTGGGTATATTAGTTTCTGTTGCTTCTATCACAGTTACCAGAAACCCCCATACACAAGCAATACAAATGCTCTGTTACCTTTTTTGTTTCAGTCTAGGGGATCAAAAACCCCAGGCCATGCAAGTTAAAGGAAGTGCTTTACTGCTGAGCCCCATGCTCAGCCTTTATTTTTTCCCACAATTTTGTTTTGAGACATTCTTGCTAAATTGCCCATGTTGGCCTTGAACTGGTCATCCTCCTGCCTCAGCCTGCTGAGTATCTGTAATTACAGGCTTGTGCCACTGTACCTAGGTTATCTTACAGTTTTGTTTCTAAATCAGAAATCCGACACAGATCTCACTAAGCTAAAAAAATCAAGTCAGATTGGCTGCATTCCTTTCTTGAGGCCACAGGGGAGAATCTGCCTCCTTCCCTAACTGGAATCTTACAGTGACCACCACAGGCCTAGGCCTCTAATGGCGTGTCCACCCCTCCTTCTGTCCGATCACTGGCTCACTTCCTTTTGCATCCCCCTTCCATCTTAAGGACTCCTTTGATTACACCGGCCACACCCAGATCACCTGGGATGACCCCCTATTTCCAGAGCAGCTGATTAGTAACCTTAATTGCTTCTGCAATTTCAGCTCCCCTTTGCCATTGACTGTAACTTATCCTTGGGATCCAGAAGTCAGGACACGGGGTATTTGGGAAAGGACATCGTGGTGCTCAGCAAATCCAGTTTTCGGGTGTTGCGATGGTGAGAGAGCACCCGGTTTCCGCCCGAGAACGCACTGTAACTCCTCTGGAAACAAAGTGCTGTCTTGCTCCTAGCAAGAGTTTCTCATTCTGCACATTCTCATGCCTGACAAGCGTGGTATTTTCATGTGCCACACCCCAGCAGGACTTTGTCCTCCAGAGAAACTAAGGGCCGAGGGAGAGAGGCTCCCCGGGGGCACTGAGATACTGTGGGGAGTCAGGCCAGAGGCGCACACCTGTAACCCCCACGCCCTGAGAGGCCAAGGCAGGAGAATTCAAAGTTCCAGTGCTGGGGCCGGGGATTTAGCTCAGTGGTTCCGCCACCTGCTTCACAAGTGCAAGGACCCGAGTTCGATCCCCGGCACCAAAAAAAAACAAAACAAGAAAGTTCCAGTGCAGCCTAGGCAACGCAGCAACTTAGTGAGACCTTGTCTCAAAATAGCTTTTTTGAAATTGTGAAGGTCCTGAGTTCAATCTCTAATTCTGCAAAAAAGAAAAAAGATTCTGGATTCTGTCCATCCTTGGACCAGTCTATGCTTATGTGCCTCAGAGCAGCCCAGAAATGAGCTTGGGTATCAACTGCAGCTCAGTGAGCCTGTGAGGGCAGAAGGTGACCTTCAGATCTTACTGATGGGGAAGAGTCTCTCTCTCACACACACACACACACACACACACACACACACACACACACGAAAACTGAAGAGGGCCAAAGCTTTGCGTGGCTTCTTCCAGTTAGATGTTTTGGACAGGGAAATGTCATGCTCAGGGTCTTAGCTGGCATGCTTCTTACAGGAGTTTGGCAAGGCCCTAGCAAGCGACAGCTTCTTTGGTTGGCCAGTGTCCTGGTGTTTAGCCCTGAATCACATCTGGGGCAGTGTTTCAGGCAAGGCACAGATCTATGACGTAGCTTTGCTCCTGTTATGACCAGATCGTCAGCCAACCCTCTGTGGATGGTGGCACTGGTTTTTCTGACCTCCCTCGGGTCACAGGAAGAAACGGAAGTGACTTCCCTGAGGTTACCGTGTACAGAATGGAGCCGGATGTCCCGCTGGGTAGCAGTTCCTGAGTGCATCCTGCTGTGAATTACACACACTCAAGTCACAGTGCATTGGCCAGAAGGAAGTCAAAGAGCTATAAGGCAGGACTCCGGCTTCGGGGACCCCAAATTGAGGAGGGAGAGCCCCAGAGGCTGTGATGGACTTGAGATTAGTTCATGAGATCGGTGATAACAATCAGTGTGATCCCCACAGACACCAAAGCACCTAGGGGCCACTAGGCTATTAAAGCGTGATAGACAGGACACAGTGGAAGGACAAATGGACGAACGGACAGAGGATGGGAAGGGAAGGAGGGAGACAAGCAAAGGAGGAGGGAGGGAGAAAAGAAGGAAGGCAGAGAGGCAGGGAGGGAAGGGGAAAGAATTAGTTACACTGGAGCAATGATCATTTGGCGCAGTGTGAGGAGCAGGCTCTTTGTAGTGAAGAAGAACTGAGAAGCAGCTTTCCCCTTGTGACGGGCGCTTTCTTCACATAAACCAGTGCTTCCGAACGACAGTGGAAGAGAGAGGAGCCAGACATGACTTTAGAAGTTACAGGGCAATGTAATTATCTTTTTAATGTTATATTTATAACCACTTTTCGTCCTCCCTCCTGGTCCGTGGCCCAGGGCCCTACAAGTCTGAATGTGTAGGAATACTTTCTGCTCGTGGAGATGAAAACCGTCTGCTTGGATATTTTAATTGTTTCTTTTTTAAGCTTCTGCATGCGCTTGAAGGTTCAGACCTCCTTCCTGCTCCAAGCCCTGCGATTCCCGCTTTGTGCTGTGGTGGGGACGCTCGTGGTGTTCAGCAGTGCGTTTGAGCAGTCGCCCCATGGAGTGTGTATTAAAAATAACTCGCTGCACACCGCTCCTAATTTTAAAAGGCATGTAGCCCAAGCTACCAGTGGTCTGGAGGTTCTTCTCCAAGCATTCTGTCTTAAATGATGCGTTTCAAAGCAGTTAATGTTAAAGAAAAGCCAGAAGTTCCCCTGCATTTCCACCAAGTGTTTTATGCACCAAACCCCATTACCCACTTCACTGGCCCCGATTTGTCTTAATGCTCGCCTGTGGTGAAGGCCTGCAGCGTGCGACGCGAGGGGAAGCGTGCATTGCCCACCACGAGCCAGGGTCCTGCCAGACCTCAAGTTCGGAGTGGGCTGGGCAGGCGGGAGGTTGGGGTTCAGAGGGATTAAAGTGGTGACCTGTTCTTCAGCTCGGCCCTTTGGGACACGACTGTGCCTGGGATGTGAAGCATGTTGAGCATGTTGACAAGTGTGCTGAGATTTATCTAAAACTTGACTGGTTGCCGAGCACTGCTGCGCTTGATAAATTCATGTTATTGGCATTGAGGTTCAGACCACCATGGCTTCTTCCAATCACAGTTGGTTTTTTTCTCAATACGAAGCAGTGAAAACAGTGCTTTGGCTTAGAGGGTGGGGCTTAGGGTCACTCTGTCTGGGCTTCTATTCTTACTCTGCTTCTCCAGCTGTGTTAGCGTGTGCAAGTTACTGACCTACAGGTCTCAGGGTCTTCATCAGTAAAGTGGATTTCCTCCTCTTGGGGGTGTTGGGGAAATAAAGCGGCTGTGCATGGAAAGCTCATTGTCCGGAGCGTATGAGGACGAAGCAGTCCCCGACTGTATGATGTGTCACTTCGCATGCTTAGCCAAGG